TCGCCGGCGCCCCGCCTTCCTGCTGGCTCTGAATCCCGGCGGCGGGGTCGGCCCGTGGCGAGGAGGGAGTCCTGCCCCGCGTACTTGGAGGGGTGGGGAGACGTGATTGGGCCCGGGGGTTGTCGCGCCTTTATTCGCTAGGACGGGGGTTCCCAACCTTTCCCCTCCCCGTATTCTCTGGGCTTTTAGTAAAACTTCCCGTCCCCCTGTTCAATATGAAAGGGCGAAAATTCTAGACGATAGAATCAACAGCTTTTTTCACTAACACTGCAGCTTTTGGAGTATTTAAATTAAGATCATTGTTATTAACCAAATATTCCCTCTACCCCCCTTGACAAGCTTCTCGTACCCCCTGGGGATAGGTGTACCCCAGGTTGGGAACTCCTGCTCTAGAACATTTCTCAGCCTTTATAGATTATTCTACACCCTCAGATGTGTCTTGTGCCGTCCCCCCTCCCCCCGCCGTGCTAGTTCCACCCTGTGTAAAAAATGGCTTGTTTAGAAAAACAGAGATTAAAATCACAGCACAATAAATACTGAAGAAAAAAATTCTTATGCTGTGGGTCTGAAAACTTACTCTGCCCTGATTTCTGTAGTGCTTTTAATGTACGTCTGTTGTAAAAACTGGGCAGATACCTAGATTGTTGTGGTGGGTTTGGGGTCACTGACCCAAAGGAAAACATTATTTGGGGGATACACACAGGAGAAACAAAAGAGGAGGGAGGAAGTAATTGAGCTGGTCCACAGTTGAGAAGCAGGAGAGAAAATCCAGACATACCTCACTCATTCAGTTTGGGGTTCTAGGGCTGGATTAACTCTTCTGGAGACCTGGGGCTAGTAAACTTTCTGGGGGCCCTCAAGACTCCAGCATGGGGCCAAAGTGAGGGGTTTGGGAAGGCACTGTAGGGGAATGGAGTAGGGATGTGAATGGATAATCTGTAAGCATCACTATGAGATGCTTACTGATTATGGTTAACTAGCTGGGGAGGGACTGCTGCAGCCCTACAAATGCTCTGGGGAATGGATCATTTGATTACCTGTTCTGTTCTTATATAATCAAGGATAATACAGTCCTAGTAGTGCCCACAGGCTCAATCAAGATTATTCTGTTTCATGGCTCTACAGAGCCCTGCATGTGAAATGGAACTTCTACAGATCTCTGAATCAAAACCTCACTGTCTCTAGCTTTGCAAACATAAAATGGATCATAGCCACTAAACCAAAGAGTCTGAAATCTAAACAGGACTAAGATGTTCTAGGCAGAGAAGGGCAAATGTGACTATACAAGGAACACAAGGTTTTATATATTTGCTGAATTTAGGTTTTGCATATAATTTTTAAAATAGGGATAACATTAGATATTCATTTACTACTGACAAGTTGTGTATCTACAAGTGAATGAAGTGAACTTTAATGGTTTGATCCTGTTACATATTTTCTTTTATTTCAGCAATTAGAACTAATCACACCTTTTCAACTGTATTTTAATCCTGAATTAATATTTAAACACTTTCAAGTAAGTATATTTCTGAATGTTCACATTGTTCAAACAATAGCTAAAAAACTCTGTTTGCTTGCATACACATTTGTGGAGGTATCTTTCTTTTTAAATGTTTTCAGTCTGAGTTGCAAGGTAATTTCCATCCATTTTGCAGTGTGCATGTTTTGGGTAATGGAGTTCTGCTGTTTTATTTTGAGGGCATAATTTTAGATGCAGTACTGTAGGTAGTATTGTTGTATTAGCCACAGTGCTCATACTAAAGGGCTACATCTAGACTGGCCCCTTCTTTGGAAGAGGCATGCTAATTTCTAACTTTGGAATAGGGAAATCCGTGGGGGATTTAAATAAACATGGCCGCCGCTTTTTTCCGGCTTGGGGAAAAGCCGGAAAAGAGCGTCCAGACTGGCGTGATCCTCCAGAATAAAGCCCTTTTCCGGAGGATCTCTTATTCCTACTTGCAAAGTAGGGCTTTATTCCGGAGGATCGTGCCAGTCTGGATGCTCTTTTCTGGCTTTTCCCCAAGCCGGAAAAAAAGCGGCAGCCCTGGTTATTTAAATCCCCCGGGGGACCGGAAAAAAAGCGGCAGCCATGTTTATTTAAATCCCGTGGGGGATATTTAAATCCCCCACGGATTTCCCTATTCCAAAGTTAGAAATTAGCATGCCTCTTCCGAAGAAGGGGCCAGTCTAGATGTAGCCAAGCAGTTAAAAGAAATGTGAGTCTGTGTCTCCATCTGTGAGATCTTTTGTTAAAGAACTCCTCCTAAATAGTAAGAGCTAGTACCATCAAATTTGATATTCAGCTTCCTCTCATCATAACTTAAAGCAAGGTAAGGGCTTAGTTGTGCCAGGACAATGGGATGTGCCTGGAGTTCAACAGCTTTCCATAAAATGGAAAGAGAAGTGTCTGATAAGAGGGAGACAGTTAGACTGTAGAATGATCATGGGGGCAGCAAGGGCCCAGAGATGGGCACCAGGACAGCTATAACCCCTTTGGGTCATCATGGAACAGGGATGGAGAATTTGTATGTCTGTTTGTCAGTGTCTCTGTCCTCCAGCTGAGGGACATGCACTCCTCTCACAGCTGTGCCCGCTGCAGCAGACAGAAACAGGCATTTCTCCCCTGGCTCCAAGCTGCTATGGTGAGAGATGGCTGGGGTTGTCCTCTTTCAACCTCTCATCCCCACCCCAGAACAATGATTTAAATGAAGAAAAACAAAACTTATTTAAGAACCTGAACAATACCAGGTAAATCTTCTAGTAAACTTGATAAAACTCTGGGCCCTCTTCAATGGATTATAAAAATTAGATTTCCAAAAGCTTTGCTGCTCTTTCTGCCTGCCAGCTCTTCTCAAGTGAATAGGCATCTAAAGGAGCAATGTTTCCTATCAAACTAAGGATTTCTTCTGAAAGATTGTTTCAAGGGGCCAAGATGCATCTGTCTGATTCGGATCAACTATTAAAACAATAACACAACCCAAAAAAATGCTTACTGCTTCTGAACTACAGCAGAACTGTCAAACTGTTCTTACTCCTACTCCAAATTGTTCTTACTCCTACTTCATGCATAATTACGTATTTAAATAATCATACTGACTTCCAACAGATTAAACTTTTTTGCATTATGTTTGACTACACATTGTACTTAAGGTAATGAAATATTGCTTAACTTTCTTAATGATTAACTATCTTGCTTCATTCCAAACCTGTAATTTCACTGTGGGGATAAATTTTGATATGCCTCACTTACCTAATCTCCAAACCCCATAATTGCCATAGAGGATTTCAACATTCTCTACAACATTGAAAGGCAGTGGTGTCATGATGTTTTATAAGACTAAGAATTTATCTTTTACAAAATATGCTACTTTATATTTACTAATATACTATTAAGTATTGCATTTAATAAAACCTAGACTGGTGTTAAGATGAACAAAATATTTGTTATAGTAAAGACAAAGTATACTGTGTCTTTGCTATACTTAAATGTTCCAAGTAAACAATGTGCTCCAAGTCTTGAATGGAAAGCGGTAAGGTTTGCTGAATGTTCGTGTTAGACCATTGAAAAAAATCATTAAATTGGCTTATTGCAATACTGAAAAACTCTTTTATAAAGTTTTTAGCTTGTATGGATTAAACAGTTTTTTGTACTCCCTAGGTAGAAAATTTAAATACTAGAGATGAATACCATTTATATTTAAGTTGTCTTCTCTATTCTCTTCTTGACAGGTATGGAGGTTGATAACAAACTACTTATTCTTTGGGCCAGTTGGATTTAATTTTTTATTTAATATGATTTTTTTGTATCCTTTATTACATGTGTTACCTCATCTCTTTGGAATGCAGAACTTACTGTGTGTCAGTGTTGTTTGTAGAAGGGTCTGATTTTGTACAACACTAGGAACTTAATCGAGTTCTATGCCACTGACTTTTGGCATGATGGAACTATTTGAGTGAAGTGTTGGCCTCATTTATAGCGATAAAAATTTTGCCACTGACTTCAGTGAAGCCAAGATTTCACCCTAATTACCTAATTCAGTAATTCTCTTTAGGTGAGTTTTGATTGTTTTAAATCTTGACTTAGAACACACACTGCTAGGAGTGAGAATTTATTCTTCAGTACCAGGTTTTTCTGCTGAGCTAGCCAGTAAGATTGCTAGTGGTTATGGGGTTTTTTGTGTGTGTGGTGTGAATAATTGTCCACTAAGTCAGAACTGGACTGAGGCCATCAAATTTACTTCATGCATTTTCAATACTTGTTTAATAATCTACTATAAAGATGTTTGGGAATTCTGTATGTAATATCTATGTGAAGACATGTAAAAAGCTTCTTTTTTTCTTAATCTTTCTGCTGAATGTGTTTAGCATCAAACTTTCCTGAGCTGCAACTTCAGATATCGTTACTGCCGAATGCTTGAGGAGGGGTCTTTCCGAGGTCGGACAGCAGATTTTGTATTTATGTTCCTTTTTGGTGGATTTTTAATGACTGTATCCTTTTTTTATTGCTGTAATACAGCTACCATGAATACAGAGAATACAAAGCCTGTGCTTCGCAAGTAAATGAATAAAAATAAATACTTTTTTGTATAATGAGGTCTGAATTACACTATACTAAGGAAGCTTCAAAACTTTCTGGATCTTGTGTTAACTATTAAATGTGAACTTGATCTTTTGAACTTAAATATTTGAATTAAGGCTAAAAAGATGAGATCCTAGACTGGAAAATGCCATTTAACTGTAGAAGGATATTATCATGGGGATTGAAGAAAATGTTATTGTCCAAATGATTTTACTCTCCCCAAATACATATTTATTTCATTTATATGATGCTATGTGTAAAATAGCTTCTGTAATAAACTTCTTATGCAAGTTGAACCTCTCTAGTCCAGCATTCTCTGGTTGTGCAACATCTGCATGATTTTAGTTAGTTGGATGTCCACTTATCATGGATGTGATCCAGTTTCCTATGGCCCCTTAAAGTTTGCTTAAAGCCATCAGTCCTGGTTATCAGTGTTCTGTGCTGTTATTTAGCTCTAATTTACCCCTAAATATCTTCTAAGAGCCCAGTAAGAAGTGGAAGTATAAGTGATGCTGATTTACAATATTGACCTTCCATGGTCTGGCAAATTCTCGTTTGGCACCAATCAGGTCCTTACGGTGCTGCACTAGAGAGGTTAAATCTGTAATATATTTGCAGCATGGTGTGTTTAAGGGGGATTAAACCATAGATGTCCATTTTGACTGAGGACATATTTTAATTGTTAGTGAATAACGGAAAACCATAGAATAAAAAAACAGGTGTGTGTGTATTTTTGTTGATGCCATGATTGGCCTCGAAAATTATTTTTTTTCTGCAACCCATAGATTCTCCTTTTCTCCACAGGCATGTTTTGTTTTTCTACAAGTTGATTATGTACACTGATATTTTCTTTAACTATTTGTGCCAGCTTTTTGGCTTGTTTGTGAACTTGGTTTTCTTGGGTCAGGCTTTTACAATAATGCTTGTGTATGTGTGGAGCCGCAGGAATCCCTATGTCCGTATGAACTTTTTTGGTCTTCTCATCTTCCAGGCCCCATTTTTGCCCTGGGTACTCATGGGCTTTTCATTACTATTGGGGAACTCCATCATTGTAGATCTTTTGGGTAAGAAGCTATTAAAAATGAAATTCTAAGACTTTTTGGCCATTCCATCATAAACGACTGGTTGGTGAATTCTCTGCCTAGTTGGTACCTCTTCCTTCAAAGAGAAAGGGATTATCAAGCCTTATTGGCTCTTTTATGACCTGATCAGTGCTCTGATGCACTACTAGAGAGGTAAGTAGATATCAGTAAGATTCCAAGGACAGGGTTGACTATGGTTTCAGGATTAGCCTGAATGGTTTAGATGATGGCTCTTTTAATTTACCTCTCTGGTGAGTCATGATCAGTTCCCCCTCTGTACTGCTTTCTCTGAGAGTCACTTCTACTCAGAGGTGTGTGCATTGGGAATCTTTAGTTTCCACACAGAGCGGTAATCTGTTGAACTGGATCCAATGGTATTTCAAAGGAAAGTGCTTTGACTGCCAGGACAAGGAATTTTGTCTCAGACCCAGTAGGCAGACTCACTGCACATATCTGAGCAGAAATTGGGTCATTCTTCTAGAGAAGAAGGTGAGTTAGTGCAGGCTTGACAGATGGTCTGGAATTGGCTTATTGCCTGAGCAATCGTAACACAGCCAATATTCTTCCTGGGATCTTACTATATAATTCTGTTCCAAAGACCACCTCTGCTTGTCTTGCTCAGTTTATCTTGATACATATCTGGCAAGTATTTAACTTTTTGACATTTCTGATATTTCAAATTTATTTTTAAGATTTGTTTTCCAGAGTGCTTTGAGCAACTGATACATTCTGTCTCCCTTTTGGGAAAGGAAACAGTCTCCACATGAGAGACTTTTGAAAAAGTTTTTGTTCTGAGGTAGGACCTTAGCTGAATAGAGAGTTTTATATTCTAAGAGATTAAGGTAACAAACCTTTAACCAAAAGAGTCAGCTCATTCAATTGATGTGTTTCTGTTACTCTCTTATGGCGGGGGGAGATATTAAAAGCATCAAGGAGATCTCATTATTTTTGTTCTGATCTAATTTTTTACATGCTCTGATTTACAGGATACTGTGTTCTACCATTTTTATTGATCTTGTACATAGTGGCATATTCTGTGCTGTAATGTCTCCAACTAGTGCCGTGGTTTGTTTCTGCATTACTTGGAAAGAGCCAGTTATAAGTGGCTGACTATGAGGACATGAGACTGACTTGTGTAAGGCAGCTTGTATTCTGACATTTTTGTCAGTACAAATGAAATCATACCATCAAACTGTTTAGACAGTTGATAGATGTTTCTTTGTATTTATGATGACTCACTGTGCTGTAGATCTTTTAGTATGGTGCTTGCTTCTAGTATTTTATATTGTGGTGAGTTTGAATTATGTTCCTTGAGTTCCTCTTAACATCATGCTATTTACAAAGGGTATCAAACACATAGTTTCTCTTTTTATTTTATGAAAAATCTAGTGGAATATTTTAAAGGTGGTATACTGGCAGTATTGAAAATCAGCAATTACACTTCAGATTTCCTCTCTGTTGATTCTAGGGATCGCAGTTGGACACATATATTTTTTCTTGGAGGATATCTTTCCTAATCAGCCTGGTGGTGGAAGGCTTCTGAGAACACCATCTCTTTTGTAAGTATTATCTTCCAGTTTGGCGCGCACAGACAAATGTGTCTGTACACTTTTAAACTCATTCAAAAACAAGTAAATTTGGAAATTTGAGACAGATAGCACTGAGTTCATCTTACTATTTCATGTAATCAGTTGCTGCAGTTATCACATGGATGTTACAGTTGCTAAAGAGGGGATTCAAGAGACTGACACTGTTCTAGACTGTATCTTCTACTGAGAATGTTGCATTGACTGCTTGCCTCAAGTGTGAACTGTGAATTTACATATAACTTCAACTTTTCAGGAAAGCAGTGTTTGATACACCAGAAGAAGATCCCAATTACAATCCGCTTCCTGAAGAGCGACCAGGAGGATTTGCGTGGGGTGAAGGTCAGCGCCTCGGAGGCTAATAAATGGCAGTGCTAATACCCAGACGCAACTAGAAGGAGCTCAACTGAAGTACCATATTGGGAATTCTTTTACTCCTTATTGCAGAAAGGACGTGTTACAGCTTTATGGTTCTGACTACAAGAAGCACTTTATGATATGTCAGTCTAAGTAATCCAAGACATTTCCAGGAGACTGCCAATGTCTCTACACCAGGGTTTTGTTGCATTGGTACTGAAAACATCATCTAGTGGAGTAAAAAAAAAAACAGCCCCCCCCACAAAAAACTGGAAACCATTTCCTGTTAACTTCAGCTAGCAAGACCATGCATACTTGTTTGGAAATGTTTCCAAAGGCATTTTTTTCCAAGTTCTTTGATGCAGGAAACTGTATGGGAAACTTTGAGGGACAAAATAAAACTTTGGTTTTAACTTTTTTTCCACTGGATAAAAAGCAGATGTGTGAGCTCTCTTACAGTGATTCGCTATTTTCGTTGTCCAAAGGCTGGTATGAAGCAAAATACACTAAATTTCCAAGCCCGTTTTCTTTTTGAGTCAGACAGGATTTTAATTTTGGATGGTACAAGTTTTGCCTTCTAATTTTGTGAAAATAGACTTCTGTAGTTACAGTATGAGCCTTATTATGAACCTAGTTTGCAGGCTGAGAATACATCTTGATCCAGATTATTTTGAATTGCACATGTGCAAATGTCCAGGTATGAAATTTCACTGACATGCTTATACATGCAGTAGCAAATGTAGTTCTGAAAAATGTAGCTTTTATTTTTTTTCAAATGGTTGGCAGATTATTCAGAATGCTGTGAAGATTTTCCCATATAATTTAAACTATTAGTTCTTAGACTGCTATAAGCAAAGCTCTGAGATAGTGAGTGAATAAAATGTCTTATGACTGCTGATTACCTTTTTGCATAATCTGTTGATTTGAGGGAAATGGAAGAAGAGATCAGGCTAGAGAAAGTTAATAGATGCATGCTACAAATATCAGAGTTCCCTGATGTGCTTTTTTTGGTGTTAATAAAAGGGACAGCTCTGGAGACATGGCACCAATCCTAGCTTTTCTCACCTGTGACCATGGAGAAGAGGGTTGCTAATGCTGTGTGCTAAATTCACTCCCTAAACTCTGCAGAGACTGCCCAACGGGAGGGTTTTAAGTGATATGGACATCTAGCCAAAAAGAATTGAAGTGACATCTGCTCATTTTACATAAGATATTGAACAGCTGCGACAGAATGGATTGGCTTTGTCACTTCTTACATGGATTGGATTGAATACTCTGTTTTGGTAGGGGCTGATGGTGAGTTGCAGAACTCAAGGGTCTCAACACATGGATCTCTGTGATCTTCCATCAACTAGTAACTGCCAGTAAAACTTTGTCTCAGGATAACATGAAACTGTAACAAATGGTAGGATATTACTATAATTACGAGTTTGAGACAGAAATTTCTGTCTAGAAAATGACTTGGCCTGTTTTAGGGATTTTAAGTGGTTAACCAGTGTGAGGCTGCTCCATCTCTGTCAGAGCAGTCCTTGTCTGTGGCAAGCCCGGCCCAGGAGCGCTGCATGGGGTAAGGGGCCTACTCCAGCCCAGCCAGGTTGGAGCAGCTCCTCCCTCTGAACTGATTTAATAGGTTAATTGATTAAACTTAATGCTTAACTGGTTAACCAATTAAATGAGACTTCGCCTCCCTATTCGGGTTTTTTTTAACCCCACTTTTATCCTTTGGGAGGTAAGAAATTATTGTGGTCTAACTTTGGTCGGAGACTTTTTTTTTTTCCCAAGACTGCTTTTAGTAGTATTCTGTGGCAGTATTGAAAGACCAAGTAGCCTTTGGACTGTTTGTTTACTGGTAGAGATTGTTCTTCAATTAGAATTGCATTTCAGTTTTTATAGAGACTCTTGTGGACTGTTAGCAGGCAGGGTTTGTGCTTAAAGGACAGTTCTGTAGCTAGGACCAAAATCTGTCTGTAAAAGAAAGGTCTGTTTCTCATAGCTGTAACAAGAAGCATATGCATATATTCACAAGGATCAAGATCTAAGCTAGTCTACTGAAACTACTTGCTGTTTTCCAGTTTATTTACTGTACATTTGTACTGTAAAATCAAGTTTTGAAGAGCATATTAATAGAAGTGAGGTGCAAGAGGTGCCATTAAAAATAACATGCGGGGATGACACATCTATCTTGAAATATCTCATGATGTAGGTGTCTACATATGCATTCTAGTCTCTGTTTTGTATCTTTCCACATTTTAATACTTTCAGAAATTTGGACGGTTTTTGATTGAAGCCACTTATGTTGCTGGGAAGCAGCACCAGTTCCTTGATCTCCAGACTGTTTTATGCAGCTGGTGGGTGTTTCAGCACATTGAATTCTATCTCCTGCTACCAGGATCCCAGCATTCATTTAACATAAAGAGGCTAAGTACTGGCAAACTGCAGGCCAGATCAGTGGTGGCTGACAGGCCTACTGCTCCATTAAAGAAGATGATGTTGGAGTAAATCTGTTTGGGATATTGAGATGTGCCTGTCATAAAGAAATAGAAAATATAGGAAGAGACTGCTTGCCTGATTTATGCTGATAGACAGTTGCTGGCTTGCTATAATATAAAATGGCTTTCTTATGGCTTGTTGCTTCATAGCTCAGTTTAATTTGTTGCACTCTTTCTTATCATTTCTTTTAAATCTCTTTTAAGCTTATTTTATACCAATGTGAGGGAAGATGTAGATGCCCTTCTCTCCTTGCCATCCAGGATACATTCTGGGAAGGGGATTGTGGGTAAGGAAGCCATGCCATATCCCACTTGCACTGCAAGGCTTTTGGTCCTTGTTTATTCCAGACTATTATTCTGGGGGTTGTTGTTCTGCTGTTTCTTCCAGCATCTGCCTCTGCAATTCCCTAGGCTTTTGACTGCACTGGGACTTGTAGAACTGAGTAGCCTGGCTTCCCAGACTTCCCTCTCTGGGCTTAAATGGTCAATATTCCCTTTTGTAGTTATATAATAACTTACCCGTATACTTTAAATACATAAATCACATGTTGAATTAAAAATGGGAAGAAGACACATTGTGTCTTAGGTACTTATGTGACTTTAAACAACTCCTATTCTTTTAAATTTCACCTAAAATGGAACTACCACTACCACTTCTGAAGGTTATAGCGACTAATGATAGTGTTGAGAAATTGTGAACATCCATTTTTGACAGGACATACAGACACTTGAAGTGGCAGAAACATTTTATGGAGGTGATGTGTGGTTATTCAAGTACATATTTGGCAATGACACAAGTTAATAGACCTACTCTTGTGGGGAAAAATGTCATAGGGTTTTTAATGACTAAGCGAATACTCTTCCTGAAACACCATTTGTGCTACTGGTGAGTGGTGTGTGTCAAATTGCCAACCACACTTTGTATAGCATTCTTCTTTCCTTGATGGTCATTCAAGAAGGGTAGGTGGCTACGAGGAATGTTAATGGCTACTCTGTTAATCGGCTAACCAAGATGCGATTGCTTATCCATTACCATTCCTGGTTAACCACAGCAACCCCCCCTACCCGCACGCTCTGCATTTAAAACTCAGACTAGCAGGCTGGCTCAGTTCCAGCCTGCTAGTCCAAGTTTTAAATTAAGAGCGTGCAAGGGAGCAGTCTGCCACTCCACACTGCTGCCTCTGTATCGGAGCCATGGAGTGGCAGGTGGGAGCTGGGCTGTACAGGGAGTTGATTTTTAAACTGGCTCCCATCACAGACAGGCTCCTGCCTGCACTACTACCTCTGATACGGAGGCTGCACTGTGGGATGGCAGTGGTTCCCCAGGAGTGGGACTGGGAACACTTTGGCTGCTGGCCCTACCCCCAGTGGAGCACCCGAGTAACAGCTAAGAATTGTTGCAGTTATGCGATCAGAAATAGTTTAATATCCCTAGTGGCTATAGGTTATGGGTCAGAGACTGTGTATTCATAAAACGTTTGATAGGCCAGCTAAGTGCTTAACAAATGTACGAAGAATTTTGGTCAGAGTATCATAATCTAAAAACAAAACTGCTCATTCTTTGAACCAGTTGTCAAAGTTTAAATGAAGGAAAGCATTGTACTTCATAAATTGCGTACATAAAATATTTAGCAGCAGCAAGAAGCACTAAGAAAACACTTAGCCAAATTAGATTCCCAATAAATGGTAGTGATTTTATTTGTGACTCTAAAATGGTAGTTCTGGGTGAGATTTTCCAAACAAGTAAGCAAGACACAAGAAGTAATACTTCCATTCTGTTCCATGCTGATTAGAACTCTGCTAGTGTAATCTGTCCAATTCTGGAAAGATGTGGACAGATTGACAAAGGCTGGAGAAGAGCAACATAAAGGATTCAAGGGCTAGAAAACTTGACCTGTGAGGGAAGATGAAAAAATGGGGCTTAATCTGGAGAAGAGAAGGACGTGAGGAGGGATGTGACTAAGTAATACAAGGTTATTGCAAAGAAAAGGGAGAAAAACTGTTCTCATTGAACTCTAAGGATAGGCCAAGAAGAAATGGACTCAAATTGCAGGAAGGGTGGCTTTGGTTGGGCATTAAGAAAAGCTTGCTTTCAGGATAGTTAAACACTGGAATAAATTATCTAGGGAGGTTGGAGAATCTGTCATTGTCCAACCTGCTCTTAAAAATCTTCTAACACCTGTCAGGGATGGTTTTAGATAATATTTAGTCATGCCTTGGGCACGGGAACTGAATTGGAAGACCTCTCGAGTTCCCTTTCAATTCTATGGTGACTGCCTAATACTGGTGAAATCATGGGGAGAGAGGATAAGTAATTTGCTCATAAGTCATGTTATATATTTAAGCCTCCAATTGTGGTGTAGGACTTCAGAATTATTATGCTTACATTGCTACTTGTAAGAAAGTAATTCCACTGCACTGCACAAGATGATACTGCATGGAGCTATTTAACAGGGGGCTCTTATTTCCATTAGTCTAGGTGACCCTGTTAAATACACTGTCTTTTGCCCTCTTTCCTGTCTGGAGAAAGAGATGAAGGCGCAACTGAAATGTGAAAATTATCTATCAGAACAGAGAAAAGAAGTGTTAGCTGAAGGAGGTTTTGTCTCCTCCTGAGTACTTCTGATAGAACTGTTCCCAAAGAATGTACTCGGGTTGAAAATGGGCAAGTCAAATTTCAGGACTCTGGGGATGTTGCAGTTGGAACCAGAAATGGATGGAGTCAATTTTCCTTTGCTGACTTGTTTATTTACAAGGAAATGTACAAAGCCTTGCTTCTCCAAATGCAGGAGGGGGAAAAAAGGGTAATCTCTTACCTTACAGCTGTAAGTCTCTTTAACTAACACCAGACCCAAGAGCTCTCTCTAGTAGGGATGTCAAAGGTAAATTGGTAAGCATCACCCTAAACAGGTAATGTTTCCTGGTTCTGGTTAACCAGTAACCTGTGGGGGCCAGAGCAAACTCCCTGCCTGCCAAGGGCAGAGGTTCACCACAGACAGAGTTTGCTCCTGCATCTGGTGAAGCGTCTGTCTGTGGCGAGCCTAGGTATTTAAAAAAGATGTTTAAAGCCTATTTCTGTGCTACATGCTCATATTTTAATCCACTTTTCAGTGTATTGAATGTGGTGACCATGGACTGTCAAATGCCTTCAGTGGAAGGCGACCAGCAGAAACTCTAGATCTAAGAGCCATTTACAACTGCTTGGAGTATTTCTTTCATCTGTATCTCTCTGTGCTGTTCATTCTTTTCTAAGGAGTTTAGAGAAGGGGTGTGGATGGCCAACTGGTTAACTCATAAGCCTCACTCTTAATGAGTGAGGTTTACTGGTTCGGGATAACCCATGAAGACTGGGGCAGCCCCGTGCCTGCCTTGGGCAGGACCACTCTAGCCTGGGTGGAGTAAGCCCTGTTGGCAGTGGGAGTGGGAAAGGGACACTCCAGCCTGGACACATCTCTTTTCCTAGGTTAACTGGTTAAACATTAAGTTCAACCAGTTAACCAATTAAATGGGATTTTACATTCCTATTTCAGATCCTCTTCATTTTAACTCCTATGATTAGATCTTTGTCCTTTCCACCTATCCTATCCTGCCACTTTTTGTTCCTGACAGCTCTGATTTCCGAAGTGCCCCTTTTCCATCATCCTTTATATTGAAGGCTTGAGTATAGACTTCCCAGGGCTCTACCTCTGGGTAGTTATCTTTCTTGCATTCTTTAAAGGATTGAAGACAAGATGCTGAACAGCATGTGAATGTGCCTGTGGCAATAGGCTGAGTGAGTAGATGCCTTGTTATGGTGTGTAAATACATATCTTAGGGTATGTCTGCACTGCAACACTATTTTGAAATAACTAGCGCTATTCTGAAATAATTTAGTCTGTATCTACACAGTAGACAATTTTTTTGACATAGTGACAAAATACGGGCAAGCTGGAGGATGTCTTACTCTGACTCCTGTAACCCTCATTGTGCGATGACTAAGGGAAGTTGGAGGAAAAGTGCTCTTTTTCGAAATAAGTGCTGTGTAGATGATCCCAGTTATGAAGTAAGATATGCAATTGACATAACGTAACTCAATGTGCGTGTCTTATTTCGAGTTAAGCCCTGCAGTGTAGATGCCCCCTTAGAGAAGGCTTAAAACCGTTCCTCCAGGTAGGGCTTTATCAGTATAAAGCTGAGAGAGCAGTGGGGCAAACACCCCCAATGGTGGGGAGCAGGCACATGGCTCATCACACCTTAACAAGAAGGACGGGGTAGAATAAGTTGTCCATACATGACAACATTCTGGGGTGATTTTTTTAAAGACTCCCCCCTCCTTGTAACTGCGACACAAGCGTCACAATGGAAGCTCCGCCCTCTACTGTCAGTATAAAGCTGAGAGAGCAGTGGGGCAAACACCCCCAATGGTGGGGAGCAGGCACATGGCTCATCACACCTTAACAAGAAGGACGGGGTAGAATAAGTTGTCCATACATGACAACATTCTGGGGTGATTTTTTTAAAGACTCCCCCCTCCTTGTAACTGCGACACAAGCGTCACAATGGAAGCTCCGCCCTCTACTGCCTTCCATCGTTTTATGGACCGCCCCTACCCAGCGGGGCCTGCGGGGACTACAACTCCCAGCCTCCCCCGCTCCGAGCCCGCGGTGCACGCTGGGAGCTGTAGTCCCGCGGGCCGTCGCGCCGCCGGGC